GAATGCGGCTATTGGTTGATAGTGTTGAGAGATAAGTAGCCACAATGTTTAAATGTATGCATACCATGTCCAGAGCACATTGTTAGACATGTTGCACCTACATCTTCCCCTTCCAGTGTCCTTCACAAAGCCTTCAAGGGGGCACCCCATTACAAATTCCATCCATTACATTTCCATTAGGACTTAAAATGGGGGGAATAGAGTATGTGGGATCAATAAGGATGTTTTATGGCCTGTGCAATGTGAAACTATTGATCCTGAGATTGCTCAATGGCCTCATTATACAGTCAGTACAACCTAAATGACCTTGGCAGAAAGGCAGAACATTGAACAATGCTTGTTAATGATGTGCCTTTTGAATCACAGGAAATATTAAAATATTTGTAGTTTACAGTTTTTAGATAGGCTTTCTTCTTAGCCAAGCAGTTAGCTTAAAGGTGGGGTAGGTAATTTTGGAGAAACCAGCTCGAGTGCGCTAAAATTTGAAAATACACAACCGGAAAAAAACTGCTACTTCCTTACAGAGCCCCTCCTCCAACACACACGAACGCGCACATGACCAATGAGGGCGCGAGATAAGTTTGTGCACAGATGGAAGGCTGACAGGCAGGTAGGCCATCCAGTTATTTTAACACACACACACACAAACAAATCTACAGACTTACTCCAAACTGCCAAATATATTAATTAACACACTCACTCTCATATACTCTTTGACTCTATTTTGGCCAAGTAGAACAATAAGCAGCAGACTTTTACTTTTTTATCATTTCTACTGGTTCTTAGATCTGCGCATGCGCAATACGGGTCGGCAGTTGCGAGAGAGTATTTGTGTTGGGTAATCGATGGTAGGGATAATAACCCATACAGTGGTGGGGCTCATGACAGTATTTGCAATGTAATTACATACACGCTCCCCTTGACAGTGAAACACCACGCGTGAGCGTGAGGTTTAGATCAGTGGTTCTCAACTGGTGCGTCGCGACCCGACCCGTTTCGAGTGGGTCGCGGATGTGTGAGTGAAGGAAAAAAAAATTGGAATTATTTTTTTTGGGGGAAAAAGTCAAACTTTTATTTTGAAGGCCCGATTTTCTAACGCTGTCGGCGTTGGACTGGAAGTAACGGAGACCATAAACGGTTTTGAAAACTTCTGTCACGTAGTGATCATCTTTCAATAAAATATCTTTGCTGATGTTTTTTCGAGTCTTCTGGCCAATCAGAATCAAGATTGTTGCCGGAAGTCCCCACGGTGAATAACTTTGCGGTAGAACTCTTCTTTATACATCCATGGGTACAACTTCAGATAAAAATGAACACATAATGAAATATGACCCCCGGTTTGATGATTGACAGGTCACAGAACAATGGGAGCTATCTACCCTTACCCACAATTTAAAGTAAGTCACACAGACTATCTCCTCTTTACTCTTCTCGCAGCAAGATGTCAGAACAAAGTGAAAAACAAACAATGGCATAAAATATTATTAACATGTCGGGTAGTAATAGATTTATTTATTTTCTTCTCGGAGTGTACCAGAATGCATAGTTTGTTAGTATTTCTAAAAATCTCCTGGGGGAGAATCCCCCCAGACCCCCCTGCTGGGGTTGGGTTTTCAGCATATGTGCCTTTTTATATAGTTCAGCTTTGATTCCATCATCTCATTAAAACTTTTTTAAAAGCATACTTTAGTTCTGTGAAGGGATATAAGGGATATATGCACTGTACTTCACTTTCATTAATATTGTATGCTGAAAAGCGTATATATTACAGCACGATTTTTTGTTGAATAGATTTGAGTGCTTCAAAATGTTGGGTCGCGATGTATTGACCAAGTAAAAAGTGGGTCCCGAGGCCTGACCAGTTGAGAACCACTGGTTTAGATTATTTCCCTGTCTCAATCCAAATTGAACTGTATGAAATAAAAAGGCACATTTGTTTAAATAAAAACCTGGAGCCAATCCTGCAATTTCCCCACAGTTGAAAGAGTTGACATGCTGAAAACCCAACCCTTGCAGGGGGGTCTGGGGGGATTCTCCCCCAGGAGAATTTTTGAAATACTAACATAATAGGCTACACATTCTGGTGCTCTCTTGAGAAGAAAAATAAATAAATCTATTACTACACGACATATTTAAAAAATGAATGCCATTTTAGTTTTGTTACTTTGTTCTGAAAGCTGAACCTGCTGCTCCTCACAGAGAGAAGAGGAAGAGGCTGTGTGAATGACTTTACATTGTGGATAAGGGTGGATAGCCCCCATTGTTCTGTGTGTCGACATGAAAGACAGCCCACACACATATCAATCATCACACCGTGGGGTCTTATTAAATCAACACGTAATGTTGTATCGATGTATATAGAGTTGTCCATCCATCCATCCATCCATCTTCTCCCGCTTATCCGTGGTCGGGTCGCGGGGGTAGCAGTTCCAGCAGAGAGCCCCAAACTTTATTTTCCCTGGCGACATCAACCAGCTCTGACTGGGGGATCCCAAGGCGCTCCCAGGCCAGCAAAGAGATATAATCCCTCCACCTGGTCCTAGGTCTACCCCTTGGTCTCTTCCCAGCTGGACGTGCCTGGAACACCTCCCTAGGGAGGCGCCCAGGTGGCATAGAGTTGTACTACAGCAAAAGTATTCTCCGTCGGGACTTCCTGCAACAAGACCACGCTGTTATCTTGATTCTGATTGGCCAGAAGACATTATCAAAGATGTTCTATTAAGAAGATGATCACTACCTGACAAAAGTTTTCAAAACTGTTTCTAGTCTTCGGTAATCTTGTTTTTGGCGTGAGAATAGTTTGGGCAGCGTGAGAGCGTGAGATTGAGAGTGAAAGCGTGTGTCACACACCAGATGCGTGAGAGTTGGCAACCCAAGCTAGCATGTTAGCCAAATAGCACTTGCTAGCACAAGTCAGTCACAATAAGTCTCTGAGGTTCTTTTCACTGTATTGTGTCATTTCAATAACACATTATTAAATTGACATTCTTGGGGAGAATACCACCAACATTATAGGTCTCTACGAGTGCTTAGAGATACATTTTGGCTGTAGTTCAATGAATCTGTCAGGACTTGGGAACTGGAGTCCCAAAAGTACGGACTGGTATTTTGAAAGGTGCCATTTCCTCTCTTTGCCGAGGTGCCCTTGAGCAAGGTGCCAGATCGCAAAATCTAAACTTTTCTGTTGGTCGGCGCTATGTATATTCCCACGCTTTGATGATTGAAGAGGATTTAATTTGAATCCTCCATTTCCATTTTCCACTCCTATTATAGCTGCCCTATTATATGTGTAACCTTTTATGCAGTATTTTGACATCCAACTAATGGATGTATTATTCTTACCTCCACACTAATGCAGTTGGCATTTGTAAAATGCAGTTCTACTTCCCAGTATTCAAATTGCACTAAGGTCATGTTCATGCATACATCAGTGTAAGATAAGATTGACTTTATTTTCCCAGTGGGAAATTTGCCTTGAACATCACAGTGTCTGCTATTTTAAATCACAGCAAAACAACAATACAAAATAAACCTCAAAGACATTCATCCATCAATTGCTAATGCCCATCTAGATCACAACAAAGTGCACACATAGCCCCATATGTAATAGTAATAGACGAAAAATAGGAGATATAAGGCAGGCAAATATTTCAACCTAGGGGATGGTAAGTACTGCTAAAAAAAGGCTGCTGCATTGAGGTAGTGGGAGGGCATTATAAGACACAATCACAAATGCAAACAGATATCAGAACACAATCTACTATACAGTATCATTAAATGAATTGCAAGATCCACTATGTTACACCTTGCAGCTTGTTGCTGTTCCAATTGCTTTGATGACTCTTATTAATAACTGCATGCATGCTGTGAAGGAAATGTTTATTTTGCTATCTGTTCTTCTTCTTCTCTCTCTGTGTGTCTTTGATGTTACCCTGAATGCCCTCTGTATCGCGCTGATTCATAATATCAGTTCACATTTTCTCTGGCCCCTGGCTAATGTGCTTTGGTAGATCTCTTGATTGGTACAGTAAGTGTAGTAAAATGCTTGAGTGTGCAAAGTGAAGTCAAGGTTAGCTGTTCCGCCCGAGTTTGACGCTCTATCTGATTCCAAATGGGGATATTTTCTCTCCATTTATCTGTCCAAGACAATGTCCCTTTCAGATAGGTGTAAGCAAGCCAAGGCTGCACTCCTACCTATTACCTCCCCTGACTTGTCCTCTTGTAGAATAAAGGAATCGGCAGCATGTTAAGCAGTAAAAGCTCAATAATGTGCATCTTTAAGAGTAGATTGATCTCAAATCTGATAATTCTATGTTTCATTAAATGCTTTCCGAGAAACGTTTCTCTCCATGAGGTAAGATCATCTGTCTGAAGTGGAATGAAAACCACCTGAGTTCACCTTTTATGTTCCTGATCCTGCATTTTGGTCCACTTCCTTTTCATTTGTTGTATTTTTGTGTGCATGTCATTGCAGTTTTCTTTCTTTATTTTTAAACATTTTTCTTTGATCATTACATACCTTGTTACTGTGTGGCCCTCCTATGTTTCATGTCTTCTCACGAAATGTCCCTGAAACTGCTGTGATGATGCAACGTCAGTTTATTTGGTGCAAAGCTGCACAGTGACACCAGACTAACATGAGGTGGTCCCTGGAATACTCCACCAAAATGGTACCACTTGCATATCAAGTACTTGCGCCCCTCTAGTTTCAAGGGGTGGCTTTTAACATTTTGAAAAGTGCTTTTTTATGGAGAAGAGCATCTTTATATCAGCAAATACATCAGTAGCCAGTACCAGTAACAAATCATCTGCATTTTCAGGAGTATTTCTCTCACTGCCCTTCAAGAACTGAGTTGTTATCTCAATTTCAAAGCAAACATCCCATTTGTATTGTCAAGTGCTCGAGGGTCTGCAGCATGTGCTGTTAATGCAGATACACATCATCTCTTAACTCCTGCTGGGACTTAATCTATCCGTCTTCCTTCTCTCCTTTTTTCCAGTTGACCAAAGTATGTTTGAGAACTCCGTTGCCCAGCAGCAGAGTCCTCAGACGTCCAGGCCCGGCCCCCCCTCGGCCCGCCGCCCCCCAGCATCAGCTAACCACAACCTGGGGTCCAGCTCCGTCGACTCTCCTTCCTCCGGAGGACAGCAGAGGCTTAAGAATGCCATTAACCTGGGCAAGGCTGTCGGGGCAAAGGTGAGCTCAGCCCAAGGATTAACTTCTTTACACCTAATTTATTCTTTAAACGCTTGATATTTGGGTCATAGAGTACATTTAATGTCTTTATTGTTATACCAGTGGAGTTCATTTGAGTACTTTTTGTCTTTTCTGACTTTCTTTCTTCTTCCTTTGTCTTTTTTCTGTCTGTTTGTCAATCTTTGGCCCTTCCTTTTCTTTCTTTCTCTCAGGTCAATGACTTGTTAAGAAGAAAGGAGTCCAGCCACCTGGGGGACATTGGGGTCACAGAGGTCAACAAGAACGTTGATGTGGTGTGGAGCTGTATGGAGCAACTCAATCAGACCACTGCAAACAGGTAAACACACACACATATTTCTCCTTTATATTGGTGTGGAGGAAAGTAATTATTGTTGGTCAGATTAAACTTCTCAAACTTAATTTAAACTTTAATCGTGAAGACAATCACAAAGTAGTTTACAGACTCGTCCCTCACAGGTTGTTGGTTTGATTCCCATATTGACTAAGTCAGTTTTATTTTGTATTAGACCTTATAAAAGGTCATTGTTTGCTCCTATTGTACTGTATGTATTTTTTTTTTGTGGATACATTTGTAAAAAAAGTCACAAAAGCTTCCAAGGCTATGCATTCAATTATGTTGATTAAACAACTGAAAGACATATTTTCTGTTAAAATATGAAATGACCGACAGAAGTGTATGTAACTGTAAATAAGGCAGGAAAGGCGAAGGATTTATTATTTTCCTCTGAAATGGGGTTATCGAATGAATAATGACTACAAAGGCACCTGTGAGACGTCTGAAGTTCACTAACTCTGAAGTATTCAGCTTCTTACTCGGTCACAATGGTAATGCCTTTAACTGTGTATTCATTCCCTGCTCACATGCACACACTCCTCCAGGTTGTTTTGCATATCATATTTAAGGATTTGTTCCAGAAGTATTTTTTTTTGTCTCTCCTAATAAAAATCATTCGAGTAGAAGTGATTTTTGAGCAGCTCTTTGAATACATTGTGAATTTTTACTGGGTGGGTAAATCGGTTTTAAAAGGATTTAAAAACAGATTTAAAACCAGAATGCGTAGAAATAAATATGCGGTGTTCTCAAGCCCAGAACATGTAAGAGCATCTTTACAGCATGACCTCATTCATCCCATCATTTAGTTTCTTCTTGAGGATGTTAATCACATGCTCAAAAATACGACTACATACTGTAGGCACTGAATGAAATTAAGAAAATAATCAACATGACTAGCAAAACATTTCCAAAGGGAGATCCCAAGCCTTAAGTTAAGTTAGATTTTTCATATTTGGGCTTGGTAGAAGTTATCTTGGTAGAAATGATCTTGGTGAAAGGCCAAGTGTAGTCGAGCCATTAGAAGTCAAAGTTCAGTTGCATGGTCTTTTATGATTTTTCTCAAACCAAGTCTAAAGTCTTCAAATGTGTGACTTTGTCCGTCTCGAGTCCAGGTCATCTGAGTCAAATCCCACTTAGGCTTTATTCAACTGGCCCCTTGCTTCTCTGGATCACTTTGATGCTCAATAATGTTTTTTACTGTCTGTTAATATTTCTGTATCAATTCTCTCCCCCAGTCACATCTCTTCCTTCGACTCCTTCCCCCGGCTGGACCCACCACCCCCGACGGGGAAGAAGCGTCTGCCCCGGGCTCTGAAGACCACCCAGGACATGATGATCTCCTCTGACCCTGTGGTCTCCTCCCCGGACCCCGCTGACTCTTCCTCCTTCCTCTCCTCTCCCGAGAAGTCGCCCCTCATCGGCCCAGAGGAGCCGAGGAACAGTGAGGAGCAGGAGCGGGGCCAAAAGGAGGACGAGGGGTCAGAGGAGACCCCCCTGGGCCCCGCAGAGAAGAATGCTGATCGCTGGGAGAAGACGGGGAGCAACGGAAAAGTCCATGGAGTCACAGGTGGAGGAGAAAACGAGGTGGAGAGCGGGAGCAGTGACGGAGGCGAGGAGGAACATCAGCCCCAGCTCTCTGTGCCGGACCTCATCAACAAAGACCCCCCGATGGTGGAGCCCAGAGCCAAGCCCTGCGACGTCTGGCAGAAGGCGTCGGGGCCCGAGTCCCGTCTGGCATCCACCCCTTCGGGGAAGACCTCCTGCCGCATCAGCCTGGGTGAAGACATCCTGCTGGGGAACGGTGCGCCCTGCAGTAAAGGGGCTGAAGACCTGGAGCCCCACCCCGACCTGCTGTCGTTTGAGTAACAAGCCAGATTGCAGATCAGTACGTCTCAAAAAGTTTCTGCTCTTCATTCCAACTAAAGTGGTCATTCAAACGGACTGATGGAGTACTGATCAAACATTCACTGCCACTTCTATATACTTCCTGCTCCAGGGTTTGCTTTAGGGAAAGGGAACACTTCCAGGAATCAGGACATGGCCCGGATCTTTTGACCAAGACACTGCAAGCTTCATGCAGAGGGATACATCATTTAACATTTCAAATTATAAAACACACATATATTAAGGAATCATTTTTTCATTTAGTGTTTTAACACTTCCAAAGTTTTATATCATGTAACCTCTGCTTTAGTTATGAAGAAATATCAGATAATGAGTTTAATTGAAGAAATGAAATATCCCTTTTAATGGGCGGAATAAGTAACAACTACTCAATTCTAACAAAGATTATTACTTTTAAAGGATTTATTAAGTTATTATAGTATCATGCCATTCATTTTAAAAGGGATATTTGCTTCATAATGTCCACATCCTACATAAGCTTCTACTATGAAACCAATTACAATATATATAAAGCAATATATTTTACATTCAATATAAATATAAGTGATAGCAGGTTTTTGGTCAGTGTCATTTCCAGCATGAAAACTGAATACACAAAGAGGGAAACAAGATGGAGAGGCTTGTGGAGTGTGGACGTGTTAAAGATGGAGAGGCTTGTGGAGTGTGGACGTGTTAAAGATGGAGAGGCTTGTGGAGTGTGGACGTGTTAAAGATGGAGAGGTTTGGGGGGGGGGCTTCACTTTCAGTTCATTCGGTACAAAATGTCTTGCAGCAGTTTCTCAGATTGTGTCAGGCCTAGAAGACTTTTGACCCGTACTGTAGCTTAATTCATATTAAGTAATGCATCCCCCTATTGGTCCAGAAGGAGGTATACATGTTCCGCTCCTACGCTGGCCTCTGGCACAGATTGTGATCCTGAAAATGACCTCTTTTTATTTTTTCAAGTAAGATTATTGACCTGCATCCCAATCAATAGGTCACCTCTGTTTTGATTTATTTATATTTAAGAAATCTGGGATAGTAATTTTAAAAAGGGGATTAGGATTTTTGAAAGGACTCTTTGCTGGATCTGGATTAAACAGTGTTTCCTGGCAGCAGCAAACTGAGTTTCAGAACGTAAACGGAGGAAACCAATACTACGTTTAAAAGACTTTTGGTATTATGTGGTGCTGGCATATTACAATAACAAATGAGGCAGCTTTGCCCTGGACCCCAGTCAATATGAACTAATATGTCCTGAGCAAATATTGGTAGAAACTAAATTGAGCAATTTGCGGGACCAGATTGAGAGAATTTAAATGAACGCATCTCTGGTCCAAAATGAGAATGACTTTCAGGCTTCATTACTGCTGACATTTGTTGTTGTTTATGAACTGAAAGCAGACTCTTATTACACCCCAAAACCTGACATGAATGATGAAAAGGATGAAAGGATGAAAGGATGGGCTGCTGAGAAGTTGTTTTCCAGCTAAAGAGCCCGAGAAGATAATGAGCTGTCAACAGAGAGAGATGAAAGGTGTGCTTAATCACCGAGTGACAGACCAAAGACAAAATAATTAGCGGCTCGATCTTGTTTTGTCCGATTGTTTTGAGTTGAAAGGAAGCAATAATTCATGAGGAATATATAATCTTCTCCTTAATGTTATGGTAAACCAAAGTCAGAGCGTTTCAAATATTTAATAGCGATTCACTGGCTTGTTTTTTCATTTTCTGACTTTTCTGACTCACCAGATACTGAGTCAGGTGTTCAGCTGCTTAACGGTGAGCTGATATGAACACTAAATAACCTGCTGCTGCGTTATCTGCTTCTACTGAATCAATGTGTGGCTGTTGCAGAAGTTGTCTTAGAGAAATTCTGTATTTTATCAACACTATTAGCATTAGTGTGTTTTTATTAACAAGGATACAAATTTCAAACCCGAAAAAAATCCTGTTTTTTCTGTGAGATCCTCAAGTGGCCTCTGTGAGTGACCGCTGTGTCCTCGTAAGGATTTCCTGACTTCAAAAATAAAGGGTGAAAATTCCCAGAAGACAGTGAGCGGGACACAGAGCCAGCTGGAGTTTGGCCCAGCAGAATGAGAGGAATGTGGCACAAAGAGAAAGGAAGCTTTGTCTCTCTGACTCCGTCTTACCTTAAGACGGAGTCAGAGAGACAAAGCTTCCTTTCTCTTTGTGCCACATTTATTTGAAGCTGTAACAAAACAGCTGACGTACCCTACGAGCTCAACCAAATTACACAAAATAATTTCCTAATTCTTTCGACCTTTTTGTAGACAGTTTAATACATTTTATCTTAAGTCTTAATAGAAAAAACATGATGTAGATTGTACAGAGGGCCTTTTGTGGAATCGCTCTGCTGAGTTTCCAAATGTCATGTTCGAGTGCTTTTATGAGCACAAACTAAATCTATCTCCACCAGATCGGGGTGGCAGATGTTTCCTAAATGAAACCATTTGCATTGCTAGATGACACCTGAGTGGAAAATGTGTTAAATGAACTGGCCCTTAAATATCTGAGGGACTAGAGAGTGGAAAGCAAAAAGACCAGAAGTAGAGACCTTTACTAAAGTGATGATTGTAATTACCCAAATATAGACCAACACTTAATGTGTCGCCCTAGAAAATAGGACTTTTTTATTTTCGGCTTCAGTTGTGTTGTACTAATTGAACTTTTCTCGAAGCCCCTGAAAACATACTTCAAATTATTTTTGTATTTCTGATACTATTAGGTGGTTATCACTAAATGTGCAACAATCAAGTTTGAAACAACGCCCTTAAGTGTTATTTATAAAGGTTGTACTGATCAAATACTCTGATGTGATCACATTTCATTGACAATGTTGTTGATTTGACTCAAATGATGGTGAACCAGTGCGAACCACAAATATCCCATTGGAAAATAATCAAAACATTTCCAACTTTGTCAGAAATGCTCCGTTCATGTTGTGTTATCATGGACTTAAAACTAAAAAAAGGATTGTGTGTCTCCTGAATCTAAGTTGTATTTGAAGCGACAATAAGGATGTTTAAAGGATGCAGGTGATAAGAAAGTGTGTCACTCATCACAGATAATGAGTAAACACTCACTAAACTGGCATTTAGTTAGAGGGTGAAAGCAATCAAAAGAGAGGTTGCTTCAGAGAAAGAAAAGAAGCCGAATGCATTTCTAAGACAATGAGAGCAGCCGCTAAACCACTAAAGTAGATTTATATTGTATTTTCTGATGAAGGAACAGTGCTGTATATTTGATGGAAATGTTTTATCGCTTTGTTTGTTTTTTTTACAAATCTGTGAATATGCGAATTGGGTTTAGCTCTACAAATGAAGGAAAGTGATTTATTTTGATATTCAGTCATAGAATCTAGTTATGGCCATATGTGTTATGTAGATGCCTTTAATCAATTTGATAAAAGAAAACCAATGATGTCACGTTGTTTTGTTTGTTGTTTAATCGTTTGTGTAATAACTCCAACAATTATGATGAATGAAGGAAGGTAGACGCCACAGATGGACCGATAAAGCAAACCTGGGACTTTTTATCGATGTATATCCTAAAAACTGCTGCAAATGAAATGTGTATTTGTTTAATGTGATGAAAATATGCAACAAAAATCTAAGTAAATCAATGATTTATCTTTATCCATGTTTCCTTATGTATCATTTTTAAAAGTGGGGAAGTAATAACTCTTGTTATGACTGTAATCTTTTAAAATGAAAATTAGATCTAATCATGACCTCAAATCGCTTTATGTGTCTTTTTAAAGATTTATGTGACTTTTTCAATCTGTGTAGAAAAAAGACTTCATTCATTCTGGGCATATGCCGCCTTGTACAGTATGTATTTCCCCCATCTCACTCCTGTGACAGTGGCCAGCTCACTTCCTGTTTGATGTCCTTGTTGGTTTCTTCTGACTGTGTGTTCAGTACAGTCGGGCCCTTGTGTGTGTCCTGTCTCTGTTTGATTGCCTGTTTTTCAGAGAACCAAACCCTGGGCGATGGCGATGGTGGGAATTAAAAAGTGGATGCTGCTCTGATGTTTAATTCATCTGTGTTTGTCCTGATTCATGGAGTCCTGCCTCTCCGAGTGTCGCCGGCCTCGTGTTTGTTGCTGAAACCCGCTAGGAATAAAACAGAGGAAGAATCCAAGAATGGAGACGGGACAGCGTGATGAGGATATTTATTTACCCGACTTCCTAAGCAGCCATTCAGCTAATTCACACAGGTCTCTTTAATAATTCAAACGTGGTGCTTTAGCTTTATTCATTCACTACAGAGGAATCTAGGCTTCTATGCATGATAAATCATCGAGTGTGGGGGCAGCCTTGATGAAGTCTAGCTTTGTTTGAACAACTCTCTGTATTACATTAGTTTCTTGGCTAATTTATGGAAATGTCCCCAGAAACGTAAACATCATTTTCAAAGTAAACACAGTTCATCAGTTTCAGAACAACTTACTATAAACTCAGTGGCCAAAATCAACAAAACTCATTATTTTTGTGAGAAAGTGAATTACGATAATAGAAGAGAGCAGAACTTTAAAGGGAAACTCGCTTGATTTGCACAAAGTTGAGGATTGCAAAAGATCTTTCATTTCCCATAATGCAACAAATTAGCATATTTGTATAGACCAGTGTTTCTCAAACTTGTTCATACCAAGGACCACTTAACCAATAAAAAAACACTCGCGGACCACCTAACTCCACAAATATCCAAAAACACATCGTTTTTTATAAATCCCCTGAAAATGGTACAAACAAGTGGCAACATGTGTGATGAAGGTGTTTATCTGGGCTATATCATGCAATCGAAAGTGAAACTTAAGCTCGTTCCATTGCGGAGATATTCCCGCGAGAGTGCGGAAAAACTTAAAATGTATTTATTTCAAATGTGAAATGTTACCAATATACTCACGGACCACTAGAGGGCGCTCACGGACCACCAGTGGTCCGCGGACCACACTTTGAGAAGCACTGGTAGACCAAGTAAATGCCCCTGTCTTTCAAACTCCACACCTCCAAGGTAGGTAGGTACTATAGGTAGGTAGTTAGGTAATAGGTAGTCTTTAAAGGTGGAAGAAAGTATACATATCATGTTGTTAAATTAACAATAAAAACAAACGGTAGCAAGTCTATGTACATATCTACAGTACAAAGGACACTTCTATTGAGTATTCTGTTCATAGGAGCCAAAATGCCTAGTTCTCCTGTGTTTATTGTTTTGATTATTCTCATTATTTATTAACACTTGTTATTTTCGGCAATTATCACATGGGTGTGGCAATGGGTATTTAGTGCACCTAATGTGCCGGGGTTGAATGACGAAGAGGGGGAGCTCAGAACCGTCTGGTCCTGTGCAAAGATGAGGCTCTGGTGCACTTTGAGGGAAAAACTAAGAGACTAGATCTACTCTCAACACCCATGAAAAAATATCTGTATACATTTTAATAATCAAAGAATGATGAAAACATAGCCAATAACATACCATGGCCAATAACGAATAAATGTAACTTATTTATTTCTATTTGTACCATAGACTGTATATATAAAGATTTGTACACAGAAATACAAGAGGAGAAACCACAGGGGATTCACACGACTGAAGCATGAGCCGCCGTGTGAATCTGCAGTATACAAAATCTGCAGTAAACAGCTTATTTACCGGCTTTGATAACAGTGTTATCAAAGCCGGTAAAGAAGCTGTTTACTGCAGATTTTGTGGATCAATAATTACACATACTTTATATTTTGATGCTAATGCTTTTGTGCTTTAACTTGAGAAACCTTTTGAATGCAGGACGTTTACTTGTAACAGAGTATCTGGTACTTTTACTTAAATAAAAGATCGGAGTACTTCTCCCACCTCTGTTCAGGGGTGAGATTCGATCCTTCAAAATCCTCTTGGAAATACCTTAGTGAGGATAGAAATTAAAAGAATATCAATCTAAGAGTGCAGTGAAGATATCAAGTTTTTGATGTCCTAGTTTTTCATATTATTGCACATTTTAGAACAACATTTTTCATCACTATGATGCACCCGGTCTAATAACCCTGCTCCCTCTTCCATGTAGAACACCTTTCTGCACATGATTTTTTTTTTTTTTTTTACTTTCTAGCTTTAAATCAACAAAATAAATAGCTTGAACCCAACTAGACTTTATCATCGTCATCTCAGCATTAAGACAGTGTGGAGTTTAAAAGGCCCCCAAAAACCCTTAGATGGGCCTGTATGACAGAGGCCTAGGGCTAGGAAAACCAAAAGGGAAGCGACACGACCAGATTGGAATTGGTAATAATCATAAATGGGTTTATTATAAAGCCAGGTGAACAGAAATGGCAGGCAAGCAGCCTGAACAAACAAAAAGGGCACCGGTTGACAATAACCGAACAAAAGGAGAACTCAAAAGGAGTCTAAAGGCATTCAGAAAGGAATAGATAATAACGGAACTAAATAGAAACAAAAACCCTCACTATAAAAGTGGTACAGACTAACACAGGAAATATATACAAAACACACAGCTAAACTAAAGGCAACAGTCACAAAACCCTAAGCTACTCTAAACCCTATATAAACTACTCTAACCTCTAACTCAGTGTTTCTCAAACTTTTTCATACCAAGGACCACTTAACCAATGAAAAAACACTCGCGGACCACCTAACTCCACAAATATCCAAAAACACATCGTTTTTTTAGAACAGATTACAAATCGCCTGAAGATGGGACAGACAAGTGGCAACATGTGTGATGAAAGTGTTGCGCTGGGCTATATCATGCAATTGAAAGTGAAACTTAAGCTCGCTCCATTGCGGAGATATTCCCGCGAGAGTGCGGAAAACTTAAATGTATTTATTTATTTCAAATGTTACCAATATACTCACGGACCACTAGGGGGCGCTCACGGACCACCAGTGGTCCGCGGACCACACTTTGAGAAGCACTGCTCTAACTAAGCTACTCTAGGCACTACTAACACACAAGATCACACTAGTTAACCACTGGTTACACATTTGCACACAAACGAGAGCAACAAGCGAGAGGCCTCCACTCACACAGCAGAGCCTCCAGAGTGGTGATAGTCCGCAGCCTTTGTACTCCTCCCCAGCAGGTGTGCGCCGGCTGTGCGCTGCGATTGGACGACGTCAATCCAATCCCCATCTTCAGAGGCGGACCAGAGGATGGGCAGCTAATGATGTTGGGGCAACCACACAGCTCATTTGCATAATCACACACACGCACACAGCTGCAAACAATCCCAGCAGATTAAGGAGCAGACAAACAGCAACCGTAACAGAGGCGTAAATACATATGCTAAACAAATTGTTCATAAACATGTCAATTTCTGGCTTCTCCCCGGACACAGCTTCATCTGAAAGCACAGGCACAATCACAGGCTTAGATAATGAGACATCAGAAACACTTTTACTCGCCTGTGCACGGGTATGGGTGTTCAGGCCAATACCGTTTGGCGGGGACATATTCTGCCGCTGCTCTTTACGCTTCAGAGCTGCGCAGTTGGCGATGACATGTCCAAATTGATGGCAATAGTAGCACTCTCTTTCCTCTCTTGCTACGCTGGACACATTCAACGGCTCAGTAGATGGTGCGGCTGTTACACGGCGCGATCTCTCAGTAGAGACCGGGGAAAACACAGATTTATGCATTAGCACATACTCATCGGCTAACACAGCAGCAGCAGAAAGGGAATTTACTTTTTGCTCATTCACGTACATAACAATGTGCTCAGGCAAACATTTCTTAAATTCCTCCAACATAATCAATTCCTTCAAGGAAGAATAATCTGTAGCATTACATGAGGCAATCCATTTAGCAAAACACATTCCCTTGTTCCTAGCGAACTCTACGTGGGTTTGATCAGGACTCTTCCTATGGTGTCTATACTTTTGCCGGTAAACTTCAGGGACTAACTCATACACTCTAAGTATGGCCCCCTTCACCAAATCGTAATCCAGACTGTCCTCCAGCGAAAGAGCAGCAACCGCCTCCTGAGCTCTCCCGTGAAGTTTACACTGGATTAACAGAGCCCAGGCCTCAGCCGGCCACCGTAGTGCCGCTGCAATGCGTTCAAACGCACCAAAATACGCATCCACCTCAGTCTCACGGAAAGTTGGGACTAATGCAATATTTTTCCCTACATTGAAAGCCTGTGGATGAGAAGGAAGTGAGAGGCTTTCTCCAGGATTGCCAACAACACCGGATGCACGCAGTTGGGAGTCTAGCTCCAGCTGACGTATCCGGATCCGGACTTCCTTATCTGCCTCGATTTTCTTTACCTCCAACTGAAACTGATACCGCTTATCTTGCTCCCTGTCTTTTGCCTCCAACTGAAGTCGTGCGAGACGGACTTTGAGTTTACTCCCTTCCCGGGAATCTGGACTGCCAGGAGGTGTTGGATCGTAACGAGGCGGCGTGAACGGTGCTTTAAACTGCCCACCGCCCTCACTGTCACCACCTTCTCCCTTGTCAAATGTAAACTTGCCTCATGCCTCTGCCTTAACGTACCTTCAGTTAGGACCTTAGACACAGTGAGCTCAGCAGATGCAGCCAGTATTAGTAACCCTTTCCTCACCAACTCATCCACTACTAAGGCCTTCAATTCCTTTTTTAATAATTGTTTTCTTACTGCGAGACTGAAATGTTGCGCAATCTCACTCAAATCGTCTTTGCGACACCGGTCTAGTTGCTCGTAAAACGGACAGACTAAAAACGACTCCAAATCAAAAGTTGCCATACTCAGCTAAAACTGCACACACTGTTTATAAAAACCCCACTTATAACCCCAGGAATTAATGTAACGATCCCGGACGATCCCCCACTTGTTACGCTCCCTATTGGGCTAGGGAAACCAAAGGGAAGCGACACGACCAGATTGGAATTGGTAATAATCACAAATGGGTTTATTATAAAGCCAGGTGAACAGAAATGGCAGGCAAGCAGCCTGAACAAACAAAAAGACCAAAAGGGCACCGGTTGACAATAACCGAACAAAAGGAGAACTCAAAAGGAGTCTAAAGGCATTCAGAAA